CCCGTTACTAGCGTGTTGTACCTAATAAAGTGGGCGGTGAGTGTATATATATATATACTTCATATCTTTTCAGTTGGATTCTGTGGAAAGACTGTGAACAAAAAAGATCCTATCTGTTGTAGATAGCTCTTTTATCAACCTCGACATTTCTGGGTAGAGTTTGCATGTTCTCTTGGGTTTTCTCTGGGTACTCTGGTTTTCTCCCACAGACCCAAAACATGCATGTTAGATTAACTGGTAAGTCTAATTTGTCCCTAGGTTTGAGTGAGACTGTGGATGGTTCATTGTCTCTTTGCAGCCCTGTGAGGTACTTGTGTTCAGAGTGTCCAGGATCYAAGATGTACCCCACCTCTCAGATAATGACTGCTGGAGATGAGCACAAGTGACTCGGAAAGGATAAACCAGGTAAAGAGGATGGGTGAATAAAATCCATTATGAGAGTTTTGAAACTAAAATATCAATCTATGAAATGTCTCTTCCAAGTCAAAGAACACAGCATCTTTTATATTTACCTTATCAAATGATAAAAGTGCATTATTATGCTGAAAATATTTGATTTGTAAAGCAACTGTTTATTTGACATTGGATTTTGCTATTGGGATTTACATTAGGGTCACATTTCTTAAAGAATGAAAGAAAGACAGTATAACCACTTTTTTATTCATAAATGCCTAACAGGCCTTTTATTTTTATAGTATAATACTTGATAAAGGATTCTAATAATTTACAAAATGCTTTGACGTAATGCTGCACAAAAACAGACTGATTCAGCTTTTTAAACACATTCAGAGTCAAAAATGTATATGATTCTTTTACTTTAACAAAAACAAGACATACAAAGTGATTATAAGAAAGTCCCAAAGTGTAAACACCACTGAGGAACACAAGAGACAACGTGGGAAACACTGAAACAGAGAAACATATCTGAAACATCAACATCAAAAGACAACAGAAATGATCAGAGTTGCTTTAAATATCTACGCATAAAAAACAGAAAACACAACATGGCTGCAGCTTCTTGGCTTGTTTTCCAAATACACCATGGTTCTTTGTAATTCACATCGTCTGCTTTGACACCAGATGTGCCTGCATAGAAAAATAAACAGTGGGAAACTAACATCTATTCCAAATGGTAGAAAATCTCTCCCTGCATGCCAAATATGGCTGCTGACTGAATGATTAATCACACACATAGAGCCTGTCAAACCCTCGAAAGAGCTGGTAAAATAATGAGGAAAAGCACTTTAAAATTTGTTTTCTAAGGTTGATTGTGTGTCTTAAAGTGGKTTCATCAGTAGTAAATGCAAATCCGGTGGTTATTTTCTCTCTCATATTTAAATATGTTCACTGTTGCATGAGATATCGAAATATTTTGCTAAAATGAACAAATGACAAATTTACAAAGACACACACACGTTTGTCTACCTGTACATATGGGGACATTCCACTGACTTCCGTTCAATTTCTACAGCCYAACCCTGACCCCCTCACAGGCACCTTCCTGATCCTAAACCTAACGCCATTCACACCTTGGTCCTAAACTGAACCCACAACCCACCAGTGGCATTTAAACAAAACAGGGACTCCACTTATGTCCCCACATGTACCAGTGGTCCCCACATGTAGGTGTTTTGTCTTAAAATAGTCCTCATATGTCACAAAAAAACACATCTACCCAGGACACACACACACACACACACACACACACACACACACACACACACACACACACACACAC